AGTACACAAATTAAAAAAAATGTTAAAAATGTGCAAATAATTAAAGAGCAAACCACTCAGGTATTGTTTTGTGTATTAATATAATACTCTAGAAAGTGATAAACTTCTCAATTAAATTACATTGCGTAACAAAGAACTTTACCTCAGTGTCAACTAGCGACATCTGGTGAACAGAAAATTATTAGCCTTCATTGGTCAATTTTCTCACGTGGATCATATAAGCACGGAGCGTGACGTTTCGTTGACCCACGTGACGTAACGATGACGCCTTGCGTGACGTAACGATCTCGAAAGTAGCGCACGCAGACTGGTTTCGAGTCTACGTGACTCATTTGTCTCTCGCAGTCGGACGAAATGAATTTACTTTTACAAGTGAGCGAGAGAATACTCATAGAATACATCATATGATATAATATGCCATATTCGCAACGTTTGGCAGCCGGTTAGCTGTTTTTTATTATTTTGAGTTGTTGTATTAGTTTTCGCAGTCGGACGAAATGAATTTACTTTTACAAGTGAGCGAGAGAATACTCATAGAATACATCATATGATATAATATGCCATATTCGCAACGTTTGGCAGCCGGTTAGCTGTTTTTTATTATTTTGAGTTGTTGTATTAGTTTTCGCAGTCGGACGAAATGAATTTACTTTTACAAGTGAGCGAGAGAATACTCATAGAATACATCATATGATATAATATGCCATATTCGCAACGTTTGGCAGCCGGTTAGCTGTTTTTTATTATTTTGAGTTGTTTTCAGATAGATAGTGCTTTGTTAGTCGTAAACGCGGTTGCTGGTCATGAGGTCTTGGGTTCGAACCCTGGGTTGGTCCAGAATCAATTATTGGGTATTTTCGTCGCATTAGTAGGAGCCCGGAGTCAGGAAGTTGGCGGTGTGTCACCGCCGTGCCTTGGAAATCATGTAAAGCCGTTAATCTTACGCCTTGTTCTCTCACTGGCTGTTTCGGTTTACCGTCACAAAACATAGTGGATAGTCACTTAGCCTACACGCCGATATTACTATACATATAAACATAAAATCGTAAACTCTTCCGTCACCCAGAGGGGTAAGCAGAGACTACGGACTTCCATTTGGCACTATCCTGACACGCTCGTGTCTTTCTCATCCGTATACCTACGCCTACTATGCGTATCGATGAAGAGTTCTCTTAATTTGTCCCATCTTCATTACGAGGGCGACACTGAAAGTTTTTAGAACTGGCCACTTGTAAAGGATATAATAAAAAAATAAGTTCAAATATTGAAAATGGTACACTGCTAATATTATTGTGTATGTATTTTATAAATTTGTCAATTTTTCTCTTAATTTGGCCCATCTTCAATACGGCTCTGTATCTATCTCTCTACTGCGTCTTACGACACCCACGGCACGAAATGGGGTAATGTACTGACTAACGCCACTACAACTCTGCAATTTTGAATATTACATAGTTTTAAATTCTTAATTTTACGACTTAGATTGCAACTATTAGAACTAGGAATTCCATCTTAGTCCACAGAGGTGACGACGCATTCTGCATTTTGATTATATCGAGAATTAATATACTTAGATTTCTATGCATTTTGATTCTTAATCGATAATAGGTGTTCTAAGATGTCTATGCATTTTTATTCTCAATCGAGAATAGATTTGCTTAGATATCTATGGGCCCCCGCAATCCAATTAACATCAGGTTGACTGTGCACTCGTTTGTACCATAATTCTATAAAAAAACTTAGAAAAATATCACGTCATTATTCAATATAAGTAATTTATTTTACCCAAAACAACAAGAAGATAGGAAGATTTCTTACTGTTAAATGTTCATATTACCAGAAATAATTCGATTAAACTCCCGTCCTCTGCAGTATCGTATGTCAACCTCACGGGTATCTCGCTTGCAAGGTTATACGACGAAGCAGTATTACATATAAATACAAGGTTAAACACATCTTAAATCTTAATGTATCGAAAATTAGGTGAGGACGATGAATGACTGACATTGTCGACCAGTACGTCAACGAGGCTGTATTTATTTAGTGCATTATCCTCAATCATTACTAAAGTAGGTATAAAATTGATCGAACCGTTATGGCCATAAATACTCATAAAATATTCCTTTTAAATAACACGCGCTTTATTTTAGGTAAGCTTGTAACCGTGTAGAAGCGGTGTAAAAATACCTACAACCCCATATCGCCCCGGTGGGTGTCATGAGAGGCGACAGTGGGAAACAAATCAGGAGATGGACATCAAAGTCTTCGTAATAACAACTGCAACATAAAAAAAAAACTGCAGTTGCCAAGCGTGGCAACTATGGTAAATATTCATATGAGGTAATCTATGGGTAAAGTCTATGTTCAGAAGTGGACTTTCGACAGGCTGGAACGGTAACGGTATATGAGTTTGACCTATATGTATGTGTATGTATGTAAGAATTAAATTTTTTATTATAATTTAGTGTTTTTGATTTAGCCTTCACCAACTTCCTAACACCTGAATAGGTTTTGAAATAATAGGTTAGAAAATTTTCAGTTGTATTAAGAGAACTGCTCACAATACAATAATTTAATGACAGTATTCTCACCAAGATCACAGCAGCTTAATGCGACTGTGTTTCATATGGTGAGCGTAGAGTACCGGAGACCTTTTCTGTATTTCGTAAGGTGAGTGTCGGAGATCCGGTTTACTGGAAACGAGGCATTCTATCGTACTCCTCAGGGGGGACAACGCAAAAGCAAATCATTTTGATTCTTAATCGGGGATAATAAATGTCTATGGGCCACAGCACCCGCTTATAGTCAGGTAAACTATGTACTCGTTTATCACCCTTATTCTATAAAAAAAAAAAACATCACAGATCTTAACACTAATTTTTAAAATATCCAATACGCCGTTTGAAATTCGAATTTCAAATCGGAGGAAAATGTAAACATAGGTAGTACTGGAATATAGTGTTATCACGCAGCGTACCTTGCTTTGCTTCAAGCAAGAGACTATCTAATCTTTTTCCTCACTGTCTGCTCTTAACTGTTCCATCTTTTCTACTCCAAGACTCTCCTGTTCCTTTGTCTCCTGTGAAGACAATCATATATCTATATATAGCCTTGCATACGAGAGACCCGTGAGGACGACATACGATACTGCAGAGGACAGAAAGTTAATCGAATTATTTCTGGTTATATGAACATTTAAGAGTAAGAAATCTTCCTATCTTCTTGTTGTTTTAGGTATAATAAATTACTTATATTGAATAACGACATGATATTTATTTAAGTTTTTTTTTATATATACAATAATGGTACAAACGAGCGCACAGTCCACCTGATGGTAATTTGATTGCTGGGGCCCGTAGACATCTAAGTACATATATTCTCGACTAAGAATCAAAATGCATACAAACCTAAGTAAATTAATCTCGATTAAGAATCAAAACGCAGATGCGTCGTCACCTATGTGGACTAAGATGGAATTCCTCGTTCTAATCGTTGCAATTTAAGTTCTAAAATTAAGATTTAAAACTTTGTAATATTCAAAATTGCAGAGTTGTAGTGGGGTAAGTTAGTACATTACCCCATTTCATCCCGTGGGTGTCGTAAGAGGCAGTAGAGAGATGGATACAGAGCCGTATTGAAGATGGGCCAAAGGCCAAATTAAGAGAACAATTGACAAATTAATAAAATACATACACAATAATATTGGCACTGTTCCATTTTTAAAATTTGAACTTATTTTTTTTATTATATCCTTTACAAGTGGCCAGTTCTAAAAACTTTCAGTGTCGCCCTCGTATTGAAGATGGGCCAAATTAAGAGAACTCTTCATCGATAGGCATAGTATGCGTAGGTATACGGATGTGAAAGATGCGAGCGTATCAGGATAGTGACAAATGGAAGTCCGTAGTCTCTGCTTACCCCTCTGGGTGACAGGAGAGTTTACGATTTTATGTATGTATAGTAATATCGCCGTGTAGGGCCAGTGACTATCCACTACCCCATATCATCCCGTGGGTATTGCATGAGGCGATAGAGGGAAATAAAACAGGAAATTGGCAGCAGTAATGATAACGTCCTCCCGACCGAATTTCGGTCACGGCGGCGGCCAGTCTCAACGGTGACTAGCCAGCTGTGCAAGACAGCATTATAGTGACCGAGTCAAGCGCATTCGCCACTCCCACACTCTCATAGTCCGATGTGACGGTAAACCGACACAACCACGATCGGGCGTAAGATTAACAGCTGTACATGCTTTCCAAGGCACGGCGGTGGCACACTAACTTCCTGACTCCGGGCATAACTGATTCTGGACCGACCCAGGATTCGAACGCGAGACCTCATGATCATCACCCGCGTTCACGAGCACTAGACGAACAAGGCACTATCTCTCTGACCACAACCCAAAATAATAAAAAACAGCTTACCGGCTATATGGCTATATATATATATATATATATATATATATATATATATATATATATATATATATATATATATATATTATTAATTGTTGTTTACCTCTAAATAACGTTGTCGCACCAATATTTTAAACAAAAGCTTAATTTAATTATAAAATTCATAATGGGGATACATTTGTCGTAATTGCCACACTTGGTAAAGGGGTTGGCAAACGCATTTGTTTTTCTAATTGTTTATAGGAAAACGCTGCTGCCCTTCTCTTAGTTTGTTCCTAATGGAGGCCTATGTTTAGCAGTAAACTTTGATTAGAAAGAATCATTGCATAAAATTTTATATATAAATTAAATGTTACTTTATTAAATTAAGTTTCACTCAAAAATATATAAATATTACTTCCCAATTCAATTTTCATTGCCTATTGTTTACAAACAAACGCCTCCATGAATTGTTTCATAAAGAATTCGAAAATATATTCTCGCTTCCAACGTTTGACTGCCAGTTATAACTATAGCGACAGGTCGAGTCAAGTGTTAAGGTCAGTTGACCCGTTCCTGACCAGTTAATTATAGACCATAACTTACCGTCTTATCTAACGATGTATCTGAACGGTCGACTGCGAACACCTCCGTACTGTCCGTGGGTGATATTTTACTTGCACTAACACAATCTAACGCACCCATTGTATACTATCACTTATATGGACACTACACTCGGCCTAAAAGGATATATTTAGAAGCAAAATTACTTATCAAATATGTAAACAAAGACGCGACGAATGGCCAATGTTTCTGCTCGCGATATTGTAATGCTACTGAAGTGACAGTGTGCGCTGCGCTTGCTCCGGTAATGGAAATGACATAGATACAACTTAAATAGAAATGGCTTCTGTCGAGTGTTTCTTATCGCTTCCTTATCTTATTTGCATAAGTTGCTACTATATCACTGGACATAATTATTATATTACATAGTTGTTACTTTTCAATTGTGGGTAGTACCGTTCGTACGTTAGTAAACTTTTTTCGTCCCACCAATTTCGGGAAGAAATTATGGCATGGTCTGAAAACCAAATAATTTCGACGCTTAATTGCGTTGTGAATACGTCATTAACGTTTTAATTAAATCGATTATGTAGTTTACTCGTTTCTGTGTTACAAAAAACTATCTTACCGTGCGTAATTAATTAATTTTGGGTATAGATTTGATTTTAGTTTTGATTTAATTTAATTAAATTTATTAAATGTTCTCAATTACTAACCTAATATAAGTCATACTAACAACGTATGGATCTTTGATATCTGAAATAAAGAATTATTATTATTATTATTATTATTGTTACCAAATGTTTTAGTAAAAAAGGCAAATCAAATCGCACACAATCTCATTTTTTAAATTTATTTCACTCTTTAGGTTTATTGTCTTAAGATAATCGTTATTGACGCTCTATGTCTATGAAGTCTTCCTTAAGGCGTAGCGCGAAACAACCTATGAACAGTAGTTGGCAATACCATGTGGGCTATGTCCAACATCGAAGATAGAAATACTAAACATTTAATTTTAAGGGCCAAACCGGGCTTTAATGGTAAATCTATACGTATAGGTTATAACAATTAAAACGTGTCGCTCACATGAAATATAACATTTAAGATTTATGTGCATGATATAAAATAAATATGCTAATGTAAACAATAAATAAAACGGTAACAAACGCAAATAAAATTATATTTATTGCTGCTTATAATAAAACGTAAAGATCTGACAAGTTAAATACCAAATTACATTACACAAAAAAAATTAAAGTGTTTTCTTCACGGTTACGACGATTTAAGCAATCTCAATTGTTATTAGATAAGTAATAAAATATCATGTTGTCGCGTCAACATTTCAGTAAACCAAGCTGTGTACACACAGTTTTGTGTGTTGTGTGAAACAGCCAAACATGGTGAAGCGCACTAACTTAAGTAAAGCATTCTTCTCACTCTTGCCTTTAAAACACCCACATTGCAATCGGATAGATGGAATTCAGATGCTGGCAACATATTCCACTCCTTTGCTGTACGCATGACGAGCGATGTAACAAACCGTTTCGTTCGAATGCGTGGTAAGTTGACAAGGAAAGGGTGGAAACTGACAGAGCGTCTAGTTGTATGATGGTGAAAGGGAGAGGGAGGAATTAGGTGATGCAATTTCTTCGCACACTTTCCGAAATGCATCCTATAGAAAACCTAAAGGCTGGCTAACTTTGCGCCTGTGTGTCAAAGTCTAACGAGAAATTGACAAACTAAAAACATACTATCTTGTTCTTAATGCATGTACAAATAAATGATTTATTAGTGATTGCGACTTGTCAAAAGTACATTTAAAAAAATAATAAATATGCATACCCAATTATCGAGCAGGCTGAATGAGTCATCAGATAAATATGAATACTTAGGATTTAAAATGCGATCGGTATAATCACTTCCATAAAATCTATCTCTTCGCTGCCCATAATCTTTTGCCTGATTCATACACGTGAGGTGTGAGTACCGCGTCGTCACATGAGTAAACAGCTTCGTAGCGTGTCAAGATTCTACAGTTAAGTTAGTTTTAGGTCACGGAAGAGTAAAAAAACACTAACCGCCTTATTACGTGTTTTTTTTTAATATTCTTGGACTTAGACTATGGTTTAAGAAGAGTCTTTCGCATGAAAGAATAATAGATGCCCTTCGGCTTGTTAGCCCCGACTTTAGGAGTTATTATTTGAATATCTATTTAGATAAATAAGTGTGTGTTTCTAATGTCAAAATAACAGCTTTTTACTAAATTAATAGGAAAGTATATAACGTACTTATAACAAAAAGACAATTTTGAAAATGTTTCTCTCTGCCTGTCTGTTTGTTCCGGTTAATCTCCGAAATGGCTGGACCGATTTTGACGGGACTTTCACTGGCAGATAGCTGATGTTATAATCAGTAACGTAGGCTACTTTTATTTTAGAATAAGAATTGGAGTTCCGCGCAAAAAAAAAAACTAAATTACATGCGGGCGAAGTCGAGGGAAACAGCTAGTTTGAAATATATTTTATTATTTTTAGACTTCGAAGTCTGATTTTTAATTTTTTTTTTGAAGTATAATATTTCTTTGCCAAATAATAGAGAATCAATCAAGGAACATGATATCTATACAAATAAATAAAATTGAAGTGTCTGTACGTAATTTAATGAAACTAATACGGGTTGTATCGCGTTTAATTTTAACTTTTTTAATTCCCGACGTTTCGGGTGCTTTACAGCACTCATGGTCACGAGGGGGACTGAGGTGTTTGACGTCCCGATGTCATAGTTAGCCCGGCTACCTTCAGTTTTTTAATATTAATTTTTGGTTCGATTTACGCAGAATGAGCTTACAGTATTTTAAAGTCTAGCAGTAGTATACTTGGGTTTGGATTTAATTTTATTAATTATAGGATCCCAAGCAGATAGCATATATATATATATATATAAGCAATTCATAGCAGAAGATCTGGCAAGATTTGTCAATTTAGGAGTTGAGTTATTGTAGAATAAGTAAAAGTGAGATTATGTATTACCTACACTAGGCTACTTTTAATTAAGAAAAAAAATTTGGGTTCCGCCAAAAAGATTTAAATCCATGATTGACATGATGACAACCTAAATTCCACGGGGGTGGAGTCGCGGGGAACAGCTAGTTGAAAATAAATGAATGAAATCGTTTTTTTTATATAGAATGAGGGTACAAACAAACACACAATCTACCTGATGGTAAGTAGATGCTGTGGCCCATAGACATGTACATTTATCCACGATTAAGAATAAAAATGCAGATGCGTTGTGACCCCTGAGGACTAAGATGGAATACCTCGTTTCCAGTCAAAAGGGTCTCCGGTTCTCTACACTCACCATTCGAAACGCAGCAGCATTAAGCTGCTATTTTACGCTGGTATTCTGTGAAAGCTTCTGTGGTCCTTCCCCGGTCCAGCTGACACATTCTTGCTACAACCATAATATTGCTGCAGCTTGGTTCTACCTATTAAAAAAGTGTTATGACATTCGTTTACGCTAGGTGTAAAATACTTACCCAGACGGGCCCTGAGTCAGAAAACAGCGTCAAATGTGTGACATGTTTGGCAATCAACAACCGAGATTGGTCAATCGCTCTAGGCCACTGCTACTTCACGACAACGCAAGACCACACACTGCACAACAAACAACCACTAAATTAGATGAGTTACAATTGGAATGTCTGCGACATCCACCGTACTCCCCGGACCTTGCTCCAACAGATTACCAGTTTTTTCCGGAACTTGAACAACTTCTTACAAGGAAAAAAATTCAACTCCGATGCGGCAGTCCAAACCGCCTTCAAAGAGTTTATTGATTCTCGCCCCCATGGTTTTTTTTAGTAAAGGTATCAATGAACTACCTTTGAGATGGCAAAAGTGCATAAATAACAACGGTGCATACTTCGAATAATTAAATATATTTTACAAAAAAAAAATTGACTTTATATTCCTCCCGTACAAAACGCCAATTTCATATGTAAGGACCTAATATATGATCGACTAAGAATCAAAATACGCTGTTACCTCAGATAAGTAGCCATGCCTGCGGTTAGTAAAAAAACTATCCGTTCCGCTCAACTCACCATACAAAACACAGTGAATTATTATGTTCTTTCCCAGATCGAGCCTGCCTTTTGGCACCCCTGACCACATAACAAGCATGTATTACGTGATCGGTTATCGCTAACCTTGTCATCAATCCTATATCCGTAAGTTGAATGCTTAATGCATCGTATGCGACAGCGCGTGAATACAATACTTACACATAATTAGTCAACTATTATATAAAGTGTAGTGCCAAAGCGTTTCACTGCGTCGCTGTTGATCCGGGTTTGAATCCCGCGCGGAACAGTAGGCAACAGTTCGGGATTTGGATTTTTTTTATAAAACTGAAGTAACAAACAAACTCATTAAAAACTAAAATTATAAAAATATATAAACTATATATTTATATTTATAAAAATATATACTTATATGTATATTTATACATATAAATAAATAGGTATGTATGTATTTATCTTATCAATGTACTTTTATACCATTCTGTATTTCTATTTTATGGCTTTAATAAAAATAATGTTATTTTTGTCGCCAAACCACACACGTTTTTATTGTTTTCTTGCAATCCTGTCCATCCAATGGTTGCCTGGAAGAGATCGCTTTTAGCGATAAGACCGCAATTTGTACAAGATTTCTTTTTCTCATTTTTTGTTAATATTTATGTTATTTTTTGGCGTAAAATAAAGTGTTATCTATGTACCTATCATACAGTTTACACGATGGTAAGTGACTACTGCAAGCCATGAACATCTGCAAATTTCAAACAAAGATGGCTACAGATGTGTTATATCCTCTGTTAACTAGATCGGAATGCCTCACGGCCTATACTTATACTGTGAAGTTTTGGCGGGAACATGACCGGCGGCGGTTTGCTGCTCCTGTATTATTGTTTAAATAATGGTTTGAAGTAGACTTTGATATGTAAAAGTGGTGCGATTTTGTGTATTAAGTGTCTACGCTTGTGAACTATTAGTGGAAACTGTGAAACAAGTGCTCTGATGGTGATGTGATTCTCAAAATAAGGTGTCTGTCTGCTTAGGCGCCTTGAGATACCATCGC